GAGCACTTGTAGCTAGTCAGCGATTTAGGTCCATGTTGCATTGAACTATTTCAGGGATGGGTGAGTGTAATAGAGTGCACGAAACAAAATTTCCATGCTTACGATTTTATAACTTTTGTGCAAAAAGATGCAAACATGAACTGAAACGAGCCAAGAAGGAAAGCGACATGGCATCCGTGTCAACGCCACATCAAATTATTTTGAATGCATGGATTGTTTTGGCCTGGTTCTCACGGACTAGACAAGTTGTTATACTAAAATACATAATTTACAAGTTATTGTATCTATTTACACCCACCACATAATTTCGTGTATCGTGAGTGCAATTTACTCTTGTTTTTATGTAGGATCTAATAATTTACAAGTTATTATATCTATTTACACCCACCACGTAAGTTCGTGTATCGTGAGTGCAGTTTACTCTTGTTTTTATGTAGGATCTGATCCTTATGAACGGGTTGGCAGGATCGTCTTAGGGCCTTAGGCTGGTTGTGTGATCGCTTAGTGCCCAAACCGGCTAGCTGTGTGATCGCTTAGTGCCCAAACCAGCTGGTTGTGTGATTGCTTAGTGCCTAAACCGGCTGGCTGTGTTCTCACGTCTGACTCTCATGTGGCCACATCTTATTTTATTGTGGCTAGGGTTTAGAGTGAGGTCTTATGATCTTCTCATTTGCATCTATTTAGTCTGGAAATTGAGCTATGAGTTTGTTTTGTTCTTGTTGATAAATTTACATCGTAACTTTAGGTGTTTACAATGTGTATTCATATCATTTTCAACGATATATGATTTATATAAGTATATAATACAAGTACAAGTTTATACTTAGTTTTGAGAGCCTATGTTATGGAGTTCGCCTAGGATCTTTCTAAAATGTTGGTGGTTGAACCAGCTTCAATACTGCATCAGTCGGACCTTGAAAGGGAAAAAAAAGAACAAGACGACGACGTGCAGTCCATCTGGCTGCGAAAAACGTCGCGCTTCGGATTTTTTTATTTTTATTTTTTATTAAATTTTTTATTTAAAATTTATAAATCTAGACGCCAATTTATAAATCTAGACGCCTCACGCTTTACATGAGGGCATTTTTAAAAATCTTCCTTCCAGAGAGTGTTAGCGGATCTAAATGTAAATGTTTTATTCGTATTCAAATCATTTCCGTTAGTTTTAATTGCACAAAAATTAGTAATGCTTATTTGGCACTCTAAATTATTTTAGATGGAAAAGTAATAAACTACAGTTTTGTAGATCTCAACTTTTATATAAAGTTTCTCTTCATCCGATGTCGTTTGAAATATAGTTATGAGGTTTTGTTAAAATAGGTTATAAATTTTGTAACGAATATTTGAACACCTAAAAGACTTTAAATAAAAAAGTTATCAACTATAAAATTGTATATATCATTGATTTCTACAATTTTAATATAGATTTCGATTTCATCCGATTTTATATGATATATTTTAAAATTGCAAAATCATAAAGTTAATAATTTATATGGAAAAACTTACATTTACGTCCTTTAACGTTCTCTGAAAGGGCAATTTTTTTAAAAAAAAACGCCATCCTAAGGATGAGAGGCGTATAGCTTTCTAAATTTTCAAAATGAAAAATTATTTTTCAAATATTTTAATAAAAAATGTATAAATAAAAAAAATTATCGTGCTCCATCTCGTTCCGCGTCACGCGGTTCCCAAACCCACGACGGCAACGGCCACAAGCGTCTGTCGCCCTTTGGCCCACCAGTTCACTACCGTGACACAGCACGTGCCCCAGGCCGAAATAGGTTCACTTTGACTCCTTATCTAGTGACCGAATATAATTTATATCCCTAAACTACAATACCGGATATATCGACCCCTCAACTATTAAAACCAGTATAATTTGACATCCTCGATGGTTTTGGAGAGTGGTTTCACTGATGTGGCGTCTACGTAGCGGTATTGACCTAGTCTTCGTTCTACATCAACGCCACATATCAATGCCACAGGTCAATACCACCACGTCAACAAAACCACCCTCCAAAACCATAGAGGGAGTTAAATTGCACCGATTTTAATAGTTGGAAGGTTAAGATATCTGATATTATGGTTCTGGGATACGAAGCATATTCGGTGACTTGTTAAAGGAGTCAAAGTGAACGTGTTTCCCTTAGGCCACATAACTGCGAGCGAGGACCAGATGCGAGGTGCTCCCATGGGATTAAGTCTACTTGTCATCCCTCATCTTTAAGTTGAGTTTAATTGACATTCCTAAACTTCAAGTACCAGAAATTTTCACCCTTCATCTTGGTAAAGCCATCCAAAAATCAGATCATATGGTAGCATGAAGGGTTGGGCCCCGTTTAGTTTCCAAAAACATCACATCAAATCTTTGGACACATATATATATCATTAAATATAGATAAAAAGAAAAACTAATTGCATAATTTGTATGTAAATCACGAGACGAATCTTTTAAGTCTAATTAGGTCATGATTAGGCATAAGTGCTACAGTAACCCATATGTGCTAATGACGGATTACTAGGCTCAAACGATTCGTCTCGCGGTTTTCAGGCAAGTTATGAAATTAGTTTTTTCATTCGTGTCCGAAAACCCCTTCTAATATCCGATCAAACATCTGATGTGACACCCAAAAATTTTCATTTCACCAACTAAACAGGCCTTGTTTTGGCTGAACTGTCTATGCATTTTTCGGGTGGATTTTCACCTAAAATCACCCAGATTTTTCTATACCCTTGGATTAGTATCCAATGGACTAGAAAAAAATAACAAAAATACATCGTAACAAGCCGGGCTAATATTTTTTTGAACGACTCGCACCAGACAGGGCGAAGTTCATAGTGATAGAGTAGGAAAAAATTACAACATTACAACCCTGGGATGTTGTAACCAGGAAAAAAACAAAGAATTTCCACCCCCCCCCACGCACCGACAGCACCAAACACAAACCTAGGAGAAGGCTACCACCGAACCGGCCACCGCTAGGCCAACAAAAGAACTACAACCGAGGTCGCCCGAATCTATCCCTAACAAATGACACCAAACCCCAACTCTAGCCACCTCTTTGGCACTGAGAGAGAGGCCCTCCGACGTGGCCAACTTGCATAAGCTAGGGCACTGACACAAGAGGATGTGTGTCTAGAGAGCGATCTTGCACCAAAAGTCTGGGAGGATTTAGCCAGGACTGCCTAGATGGCGTCTGTAGGGAGAGAAACGACAAAATGCCGCCGCCGCCATCCGTCAAGGTCTCAAACAGAGCCAAGACTAGGTTTTTACCCGACAGTTCTACTAGAGAAGGTGAAACAGCTCGACAACGCCCTTAGGAGGGGAGGACGCTCGTAGCGCCGTCGTTGCCGGCCCAGCTAAGGCCAGGCTAGGTTTTCACCCGCCGCTCACGACCTGCGAGTCTATGGTTGACGATCCGATGCTCCACCACTGTTAAACCTCTGCCGACACGTGGACCACTGCACCGGCTCCCCCCCCCCCCCCGGCCAGCAGCCTTCATGCGTTGTAGACCGCACCGCACCCACCGACAGCTCCTCCTCACACCGTGCGCGCCTCCGCCACTGCCGACCGCGCCTCGTCCCGCCAAGCTGGCCTCCACCGCCATCGGGCGCGCCATGTGCCAAGCCAACCTCGTCCGCCATCGGCCGCACCTCCTCACGCCAAGCCGGCCTCCACCACTGCCGGCCGCACCTCCTCGCGTCGTGCCGGTCTCCAACCCCTCATCCAACCGTTGCAACGCCGGCCAGATGCGGTAGTCTGCCACGCCTCCCCCAGTCAGTCACCGTCGCCCGTGCCTCCTCTCAGTCACCGTCGCCCGCTTCCGTCGTCGACGCCGCGCCCGCACCCGCACCCAGTCTCCTCCTTCGCTGTCCGACTCCTTCCGCGCCTCCACTTGCTGTCGCCGGCAACCGTTTGGCTCACGACAGCTACCGCTGACCATGACGTTGCCAGCCGCTGTCGCATCTGCCACCGTCGCCAGCAGCTGCCTCGCCATCCGCCAGCGTCGCATAGCCGGGCTAACATAGATAATAACAATTTTTAACATATAATAAGAAATTGTACCTATATTACATTTCCGTGTGCGGATGTCTCTCTACTACTCTTCCATCGATTCATCCCGGCCTCAAGCTCTCTCCCTCTCCTGCGGCCCGCGCTCGTACATACATGTCTGCTTCGATCTGCCTGCCTTGCCTGCCGTTTTTATCAAGGGCAAAGGTTGGCGAGAAGCGAGAGCGCGTGCCCGTGATCTGGAGCCGGTCGTAAGAGAGGAGATCAATCAAAGAGAGAATGACATTGGCCTTGTTTGGATCCTCCGGGCTCTCTGTAATCTTGTTATTTAGGAGTATTAAACGTAGATTAATGAGAAAACTCATTCCATAACCCCCGGGCTAATTTGCAAGACGAATCTAACGAGGTATATTAATCTATGATTTGCTACAGTGATGCTACAGTAATCATCCGTTAATCATGGATTAATATACCTCGTTAGATTCGTCTCGTAAATTAGCCAAGAGGTTATGGAATGGGTTTTGTTAGTACTCTACGTTTAATAATTCTAAATAGTAAGATTTTAGAGGGCTAATTATTAGCCCGGAGGATCCAAACAAGACCATTGTCCGGAAGATTTGATGTGATCTAGATGTGGTTAATCGAATCTGACTTCGAAGGAAAATTCTTTAGATGTGCTTATGTGCTGCTGGTTCGTGCTAATTATTTAGATGCTTGAATGAATGTAATATCCTCCCTTCCCTTCCCTTTTAAAAGCTTGATTAACTCTTAAGATCCTTTGGTTTGATTTGTCTTGGAAACTAGGATGAGGTGGAGCTTATGGATAAATGGTTTTAACTAAAGATATATAGTTCTAAAAAAACTAAGATATATGGATTTCACCAGCCCAAATAGTGGGGATGCCTGATCAGCCGGACAAACAATTCCCAACAACTAAAATGTACAACATATGCAGTAGATGATCCAAAAATAAGGCAGAGAAAAACTGGAATACTAACAATTCCGAACCATTTTATTTTGTGTATTACTACATTTCAGCAAGTAAGACCTATTTGTACATGGCAAAAACATGAAGAGTTGCAAACCATTTTATTTTCTGTACATTTCTGCAGGTACTAAGTGTTGTTTGTACACGGAAAATGCTCCCATGGCTCCAGCAGATTCCACTTCTGATAGAAAGTTCAGACGAGCTGGAAACATCCTTCCAAATCGTTCACCATACTTACTGCAAAAACCCAGAAATCCACACACAGGTCCATCGAAGTCTCAAATCTTATGGACAAGAACTTGAGCACCATACTGGGGTTGGAGTGTGACTACAAGCATTGGTGCATGAACATAAGATGGTGAGACAACAAGCGCGAAGCGCTGAAGGATCATTGCAAGGGCCACCTTTGCTTCAACCATTGCAAGATTCTGGCCGACACAGATGGTAGGGCCAATCCCGAAGGGGAAGTATGCGCCAAGGTGATAGCTCTTGCCCTCTGCAAACCTTGATGGATCAAACTCATCTGCATCGGCACCCCATATGCTAACATCATGATGAATGTCAAGAATAGGCAACTGGAGCTGCGTGCCAGCCGGAATGTCAAGTTTGCCCAGTTTGACATCCCGGTTGGCTATCTTATTGAGAAACACGGCCGGAGGATACAACCTCAGGGTTTCTTTTAACACCATATTTACCTGGTTGCATTCAAACATTAAACAAAGTATTACTTGCTGCATTCAATAAATGAGATAACATAAGAAGTATAAAATAGATGGACTCACAATTTTAAGTTCACTCAGGTTTTCTGCTTTTGGGTGCTCATACTTGCCGCACACTTGAAGGACTTCATCGCGAGCCTTGTTTTGCCATTCTTGATGTAAAGCTAGAAGAAGAGTTGCCCATGTCAACAAGGTAGCTGTTGTTTCTTTCCCCGCAAAGTAAAAAGTCTTGCATTCATCAATTATTTCTTCAATTCCCATTTTGAATTCACTGTCAATTTTACTAGCGGATAACATCATCCCAAGCAAATTGTTGGAATCCTCACACTTCCTTCCATTGATCTCAATCAATTTGCGCAACGAATTCCGGATTTCCTGGTTTACGATCTTCCTTCTCTGGTTCTTCTTAGTTGGGACAAACCTATTAGAGAAAGATGTCGCAATTTTCTCCCTCAATCATGGTGTTTGAAAAGCATGCTAAGAGACAGAGGTACCTCACCTGAAGCCAGGGATATACACAGTCCTCATTGCAAGAATAACAAGTTTTAGCTGCTCCTCTTGCAATTGGAAAACTCGCTTTCCTTCCTCATAGCTACTTCCAAATGCCACACAGGAAATTACATCTGCAATCAAAGTGTGGAATTCTTTGTTTACATCAATCTCAAACTCAGTGCGTACTTCATCTTGTAGTTCCCATTTATCCAGCATGGATGAGGTGATAGATGTTATTTCTGGAATCCAAGCCTGAAAAGAATAAAAATTTTATCTTAGTGGGAAACCATTTTATTAATGCATTATTCATATTGCAACTCTTGAAGTATTGATCACATCAGAATATTACCCGTAGAAAGGGAAGGTTTATTCGCCAAGATAACAGTCTACAACACATCGTATTCGTTTAAAAAAAAAACTACCATTTACAAATGACAGGTTGACAGGTAGTGCCATTTAAGCGTCGTAAATAAATAAGTATAAGAAAACGGTTTCATTTCCAAAATAAATCAATACGTAAGCACATCGTATTTGTAAAGAAAGGGATAAATTCCATTCCATTGTAAATACATCCATAGAAATTTAGATCAAAGTTAGTAGAATTGTAGAAAGAAGTTAGAAAGCAAATTTGGCAGTTCTATACAGGATCCTAGCCTTGGAGAGTAGCTGAGTTCACATATGACACAACTTACATATAAGAAATGAGTAATGAACATTTTAGCAAGGCTGACATAATTACATATGGACTTATGTTTGAGAATCTAGTCCATTGTAATTTATCGAGATCGATAAGTTGCCAACATGATGTATAAGCATCACGATTAATGACACGTTTTTCTAACACAATCTACACCTTCTTACCTTGACCCTCTCCATGTTGAACGCCGGCGCGATCACACGGCGGTGGCGCGCCCACGCCTCCCCGGTGAGCCCCACCAGCCCCTCGCTGAAGAGCTGCCGCGCGAGCGGGTTGTTGCCGCCGGGGCCAGCCTTTCCGAAGGTCCCCGTGGTGTCGGTCAGCACGGCCTTCACGACCTCCGGGTCGGAGACCACCAGCCGCGGGCGGGGCCCGAGCCAGAACACGAACGGGCGGCCGTACCGCTCGGGCCACTCGCGGTGGTGCGGCGCGACGCGGGCCACGACGGCGTGGTGGAAGGACGCGAGCGGCGCGGACTGGGCGGCGGCGAGCAGGTCGCGGTAGCCGGCGGCGTTGCCGGAGAGCGGGCGGCGCGGCGGGCCCCGGATGCCCTGCCGGCGGAACCGGCGCTCCAGGCGGCGCGGGACCCACAGGAAGGAGTGGAGCAGGCGGAGCGCAAAAAGGACGGCGGCGGCGGCGAGGAAGGCCGCGAGGAGGATGCCCAGCAGCGCGGCCATCGCTCTGCTCTAGCTGCCGCTGATCGACTCTCTCGGATTGGGACTTGAGCTCGGGCGGAAGAAGGGGAGTGGCGTTGACAATTGGAGCAGGTGAGGTGAGGCGACCATTGTTTAGCACGTTCTGCCCGCGCTTCTGCTCGTGGATTCGCCGAGTTTTCTGAGTATTTTTACAGCAGAGGCCGCAGATATAAGCAGATCCGTGAGCCGCGCAGCTTCGACGCCGGAACTTTTGATTTCCCTCGGTTGCTGCCAATGCCCAGTGCTGAACCGCGTGACATAACTGAGGTATTTAACTATATTTGCTACTCTTATAAGCAGCAATAGAGCGGTTTTGACTTTAAGGCTGTTTTGACTTTAGTAAAAATCAAATTTGCTTTAATTTGATCAAATTTATAGAAAAAAGTAGTAACATTTTCAACCCAAAATAAATTTATTATGAAAATATATTCAATTATTGATTTGATAAACCTAATTTAGTATTATGAATATTATTATATTTATCTATAAACTTAGTCAAATTTAAAATAATTTGAGTTTGACTAAAGTCAAAACGTCTTATAAGCTGAAACGGATGGAGTATTTATTATTGAACCCAAACATCATAGACACATAATGATCCATATATCATATACTGTGAGTGTAAATTCTTAGCTATCGCCATCTTGAAAGTGATAAAAAGTTAAATATCCCTACATAATTCGTTCGAGTTTGGCAACTACAGCTGTGCCGAAAATTTTGTTCAAAGGCCCAACAAGCTCCATCACCGTTTACCTTTGCTCTGATGAGATTGCGACCCTGAGGCTTAGGACGACCATCGTGAGCCAGAGGCCAGAGCCCCCGTCATTCCCCCCCCCCCCCCCCAACCCACCCCCACCCCCTCTCTTACGGTCTGTCTGGCAAGAGATGGAAGGATGTGAAACAAACTCGACGTAAAGTTGAGGGACGTCTAGTGAACTTACTCCCAAAGTGAATGACCTACAAAGAAGCAGCCCATAACACAACAAATAAAAAAAGCCCAGGAAATAAGCGGCCCTGAGAAGAAATTACAGTCCACTAACTGCACTGCAGTTACACATGGTCCATGTTTGCTTACCAAAGAAAGCCACAATTTAGTATTAACTATTATAAATTTAAAAATAGATTTATTTGAGTTTTGTTTAAGAAACATATGTTGAGTTGTGATCCAAATTTATTTGCACTTAATAAAGGCCAACTTTGTTATCCCTTTTAGGGTTCCACCTCATATATATATACACCTCTTGTAAGCCGCCGTTTGGCGTTGTAACCTCACCCCGATATATAGAAGATATTTTGCTGGCTGGTGTTCGTGGTTTTTTCTCTCCTACTTTGGGAGGGTTTTCCACGTTAAATCTCGCATCTTCTGTGATTAATCTATTGTTTTTTATCGTTTATTTGCCTATAGTTTCCTAACAAAATATACATACAAATTTGTATTTCAAAAAGGCTTGAAAAACGTGCCCACAATAATACTAGTACTAGCTATACAAAGAACAGAGCCTAAACTACCCAGCAACTCATGTCATTCTTGACTATTCATTTTTCCGCGATAATATCTTTTGTTTATTTCCTTGTGTAGGTCAACTATTTTCTTCCATGGCATCGTGTCATTTGTAGTTGCTTGCTGTTTTAACTAAATTTTGAATGACTAGTTGACCACGGTTTTGAATAATGCAAGCAGTACAGAAAAAAGAATTCTTCCTGGCGACATGGCGTCCTAGCCAAGTAGCCAATATATATAAGGTTGATAACAAATTAGCCGCTGACTGGCTTTTTCACATTTTAGTGTTTTTAAAAAACTTATCCTACAAATAGACTCCTAAAAAAACTTATTCTAGAAATAATCTTTTTCGCGGTGCCAATGTCGTTGGCACCGTGGTCCAACATGACGACACCAATGACGTTGGCGCCGTGGTCCAACATGATGGCGCCAATGAAGTTAGCGTCGTCCCCTCCGCCCCCAGGTGAAAGTTAAGTCACAAATGTGAAGGAGGACAGCGGCAATGACATTGGCACCGAGGACCAGTTTATAAAAAAATTTGAAAAGGACCTATTTGTAAATGAAAAATATTTACAAATAAGTTCTCGATGCTAATGAAGCTGGCGCTGAGAACCCATTTGTAAATATTTTTCATTCACAAATAGGTCAAATTTTTTTTTTAAAAAAATACAATTTGGTCCTCGGCGTCAATGATATTGGCGATGTCCCCTTCACATTTGTAACTTAACTTTCACCTGAGAGACTAGGGGAGCGGCGCCAACATCATTGGCACCGTCATGTTGGACTACGGCGCCAAAGACATTGGAGTCGCGAAAAGGATCATTTATAGAATAAGTTTTTTTAGGGGTCTATTCGTATAATAAGTTTTCTAAAAGGACCAAAATGTGAAATTTTCAGCTTGCTTTAATGTAGGATCCGGTACTTATTACTCTAAGTATATTCTAGTTAGAGCATCTCCAAGAGAGTGGCTATCTCACTCTTCAAGTTAAAATTTAGCAATTTTGGCTGAAAAACACACTCCAACAACCTTGCCAACTAGATGACTTGACCATCCGGCTGGCTAAACAGCTCCCCTCGCTGGCCAAAGATGGCCAGCCAAAATTGCCTTGCCAATCGTGGGCCCCACACATGGGCCTACCCATTTCTCTCTCCGTCCGCCATCTCCTCAAGCGTCGTCCTTCTGCGCGCCGCCAGCGCCGTCCCTCCGCCGCGTCGTCATTGCCGCCGGCCTCCGCCGCAAGCGTCGCTCCCGCCAGCCGATTGCCTCCCTCGCCGCACCGGCTGCTCCCGCCGGCCAACCGCCTCCCTCGTCGCCGCCTTCCCATCTCCGTTGCGCGGGCTCCACAACGCCTCCACCGTCGCATGGGTTTGGCCAGCGGAGATGAGAGGAGAAGAAGAGAGAGAGGAGGGGCGGAGAAGAAGGGTGAAAAATAATTAAGGAGACTGACACGTGGGACCCACAGGTGGAGTGGAGAACTGTAATAGAGAGGTTGTTGGAGTGAAAGGCAGAATTGACTATCCATTTTTTTTTGTCAAGCTGGCTAGATGCACATCTAGAGAGTGAGATTTGAAGATGTTGTTGGAGTTGCTCTTACTGAAAACTGAACTTATGAAGTAAAAAAAAGGGGAAAAAAACAATACGGCGACGTGCAGTGCAGTCCGGCCGCGGAGGACGTCGTGCTCCGTCTCGTTCCGCGTCGCCCGACTCCCAACCCGCGACCACACCGTCCGCAGAGCGCAGAGGCGCCCGTCGCCCTCCGGCCCACCAGTCCACCACCATGACATCCACAGCACCGGGCTACCACACCGAATTTTTTTTATTTATACATTTTTTATTAAAATATTTAAAATATAATTTTTTGTTTCGAAAATTTACAAATCTAATCGCTTGCCGCCCTTTGGACCTAAATGCAAATTTTCCAGCACAATTTGTTAGCTTTATGATTTTACAGTTTAAAATTATATTATATAAATTCAGATGAAATAAAACTTTATATCAAAATTGTAGAGCTCAAGGAGATCTACAACTTCGTAGTTAACAACTTTTTCATTTAAGCTGTTTTAGATATCCAAATATTTGTTACAAAATATAAAACACATTTAAAAAAAATCTCAGATCTACATTTCAAACGATATTAGATGGAGATAAAATTTATATAAAAGTTGTAGATCTTGATGAGATCTATAACTTTATAGTTTATCACTTTTCTATTTAAAATCATTTGGAGTATCGAATAAGCATTATTAGTTTTTAAGCAATTAAAACTAGTGGAAAGGGTCTGAACACAAATAAAAATTTTGCAATTAGATCCCTTGCCACCCACTGTAAGAGCGATTTTTAAAAGTCGCCCTTCCAAAGAGCGGCAGGTGATTAGATTTGTAAATTTTCAAAACAAAAAATTATTTTTTAAATATTTTAATAAAAAAATGTATAAATAAAAAAATTCCTCCCACACCTACCGCCGCGCGCGCCCCGGCAGCAACCTCGAGCGAGGCCCAGATGTGAGATGCCCACCGATCTGGGCCGCGCGCGCGCCCGTCGCGCGCGTTGCGGGGCAGCGTATTGCCCCCGCATCGGTCGCAGCCTCGCGGGGTTGGCTTGCACAGCGCAGCTGTCGACTTGTCGTTGATGTGGTGGGGGCACCTACCGAACGAACAGCCGTAACAGCGAAGGCGGAGGCGTCGCGATTTATGAATTTTAAGCTCGGGTGCTAATCTACTGACCCGATCGTGCGATCGGCTGCATGCAGGTCGCGAGGTTGCCGAAATAATGGGTCAGCCATGTTAGGCTAATCGGCCTCTTCATTATTAATTGATGACGAAATTTAGGTGACCACACAACGGAGCTGGGACGTTGTACTTCGTGGTTCGCCACTAACTGTGGTGAGCGGCCAGGCTTGTCAACCATAGTAAGGCTCCATGTTTTTTTATATAGAAAAAAGTTTAATGTTTTTCGACGTATGTTTATGTACGTATATTGATTGCAAATTATATGGATGGAATCTAGGGTGCACTTAGAGATCAACAGATATCCTATAACCAATAAATCTAATTAGATCTAGTCCATTAAAAAATAAATTATATTTATTAGTCATTAGTTATGATAACTCTAGTCTTCTATGTACTAATTAGACACCCTGGAAAATCTGTGCATGAATCGTGTACCGGTTCAGATGAAAATAGTTCATATCAATGCATAACTTAATAATTATAAAGTTTAAATTTTTATATTATCAAATTAATGGAGTACCGGTTGGGGTGAAGGAAAAACATCAAAGCTCATGGTTCGGATCGGCTCGAACTCGCATTCATAACAAGCCAAGCGAAGCTGAGTTTAATGAGTTAGCTCGTTACTACAAAACGTTATCATATGTCTATATCCTTAGTTTGTATTAACTAGCATAGTCTTCTAATTACGTGGAAACTATTTTAGTAATTCCTTTATTAATTTCTATTTATTAGTACGTTAACATATGATAAAATTGTGAATTCAAAATTATAAAGGTTGATGTAAATGAGATAGAACTCATTAACAAGCTAGATAGTCAGTCGAGCCGAGCTAGCGTTTTGGCTCGTTAAGATTAACACTCTAAGTTAACTCATTAAGGTAACAAGCTCAAACAAATCGTTACCCACCCTTCACGTATGATGGTCTAGAGGTGGAGTGAGGATGACCAGGTTTTAAAAGTATTGGTGTCCAC